GCTAATCTTCCTGTCTCTCTTTTTGTTCCACTCCCCAAAGCCCCAGTGCATGGTTGTATATCCTAGTTGTAAGTCCTTCTAGTTCTTCTATGTGAGCCATTGCCACAGCATGGCTGCTGACAGACAAATGGTGTGGTTCCATGCCTGGGAACCTAACCTGGGCCGGTGAAGGGAGTGTGCCGAACTTTAAACACTAGGCCATCAGGGCTGGCTCTGATTATTTTTGTTATTGATTTCTAGCTTAATTCTACTGTATTCAAAGAATATATTCTGTATTATTCAGTTCTTTGAAATTTGTTGAGACTTACTTTATTGTCTACTGTATGGTCAATTTTCATGACGGTTCCATTGCACTTGAAAAGAATGTGTATTCTGAATTTGTTGAATACAATCTTTTTAAATATCGATTAGGTCCAGAGATTAAGTAAAGTTTGATAATCAAGTGCTTAGATCTTCTATTTTCTAACTAATTTTTGCCTGCTTATTCTATTAGTTACTTAGAGAAATGTGTTACAATCTTCCAAAATGATTGTAGATTTTTCTATTTCTTCTTTTAATTTTGTCATTTTTTTGGTCAATCTGAAGCTAATTCAGTGCATAACACATTTAGAATATTTATATCTTCCTGATGATATCACTATGAAATACTCCTCTTTATTTCTAGAAATGTGTTTTTCATTAAAGTATATATTAGTATTCCATTTTATTTTCTGTTAGCTTTCTAGTTAAACATTCTTTGACAAATCTTGTAAGAGTTAACCTAAATTTTAACATGAATTCTTAATTTCTAATTTACATTCCAATGTAAGTTAGAAATTTCTAATATACATTCATACTTTTGTCAATTCCTAGACCTTCAATTATGTTAACTCCTTTTACTGACCACTCCCTCAAGCCCCTGCAATTTTGGCTGTTGTTTTCATACATTTTATTTATCATTATTTCAAACTCTACAAGGTATTATTATTACTCTTTTATAAAGATAAGCTTCCTTTAGTCTCCCGTATATTTCCTTTTTCCATTGCTCGCTCTTCCTTCTAACATCTACTAGTTTCCATCTGGAATGATTTTTCGTGTTAAGTGTGTTGCCAATGGAATAACATTTTTAAAAAGTATTCATTTTGCTTTCAGTTTTAAAGGCTGTTTTCATTGGGTAAAGATATTGAAATAGGCACTTTGAAGTACTTTGAAGATATTCCACTGTCTTCTGGCTTCCATTATTTCTATTGAAGAGTAAGTCTTATTGTTGGTCATTTGAAGGTAATGTATCTCTTCTCCAGCTGCTTTATAGATTTTTCTTTTTGCACTTGGTTTTCAGTAATTTGCCAATGAATGGGACTGGATGTGGTTTTCTTTGTGTATATTTTGTTTGGGGTTTGTTGTATGCCTTTTCTGTGGCTTCATGTATTTTCATTGATTTAAGAAAATTATTGAATATGACACCTTCATATATTGTTTGGGGCCACTTTTTTCCCTTTCTTTGGTGGCTGAGATTACACATTTGTTCAACGTCTCTATCATGCCTTATATGTCTCCTATCTTTTGTTTTTGTTGTTGTTGTTGCTTTATTTTCCATCTTAGATTCTCTCCAATCTTCTATCTAGATATGTTCTACCTGCCTATATTTAGTTTCTAACCCTTTTCAGGTGTGTCTTATCAGATTTTAAACCCATCTATTGCATTCCAAGCTTTAGATATTGCGTGTTTCAATTCTGGAATCTCTATTTGATTTTTTAAAAAAGACTTGTGTTCTCTGCTGACATTCTCCATTTTGTCCTTGATTTTCTTAAACATATTAATTACAGTTATATTAAAGTCTGTATTTGAATGCTGCAATATTTTGATCTACCATGAGTCTATCTCTATTTATTATTATTATTACTTTTTTTGGTCTTCAGTCATTTGATCTTTTCTCCTGGTATGCCTGGTAATTTTTGATGTCATGCCAGATATTCCTTATGGAAAAACTGTAGAGAAAATTTGAATCCTAGATTTTGTGAACATCCTACAGAAAAGATTTACCTTTGTGTCTGATAGGCAGTTAGGCTCTTGGCAAATCATTTTAACCAAAATAGGAGTTTGTCATTTCAAAGTTGGTTTTCAGTCCTTTTGAGAGCTAGCCTGTTTTTGGTTAATCTGTACTCCTACGTTGCAGCCCTTTAGATGTCCCCTCTGAAATCCTGGGTATTTACCAGGATCCCTTCATTATGATGTGTCTTGAATACAAACTTTTGTCTTCCCAACCCTTTGAAACTGCGAAAACTCTGCTCAGTGCTGCCTACAAGTCAGTAAATGCCTTGAAGGGAAAAGCAAAGGAAAATGTCAAGTTCATGTTTTCTTACTGACCATGGCTCATCAGGCTGTTGCAATGTTGACAGATCTCTAATGCTTTCAAACAGATTTGTAAATATACATTTTAATCAGCTTTTTTAGTTGTTTTATGTGAGCAGGGAGAGTTGTGATTGTAATAGCTGGCCTATCATAGTTGTAAGAGGAGTTGCAAAGTTCATACTCTTAATCATTGCTGTATGCTGCTTCTTAAACAGAAAATTCAAGATAAGACGCACTCCTCCAAAAATTTATAATCTAGTTTGGAGAAAAACTCATAGACAGCTCTTTTCTAATAGTAGAATGTTACAATATGTTTATTCACTAAACTAAGTTAAAAGGATCTGGGAACTCTTTGACGCCATAGGCCATGCTTAATTAATTTTTATATCCTAAGTAAATGCTTGGTAAATTTGTTGAATTGACTGGACATGAATACAAAAAAAAAAAAAAATACTCTAGGAGTTTAGAGTAGAATAAAAAGATTGTGTGAGTTACAGTAGCCAGGCGGGGTTAACTGGGTTGTAAGGGATTTCTTGGTAGATATATAAGGTGTGGGTAGGTTGAAGGGAGAAAAAACTAAGTTACGTTAGAGGAGCAAACATGTGCCAAGCCTGAAGGTAAAGCTGGCAGGCAGAGGAGACAGTGAAAATACTAGTCTGTCTGTAACAAAGGATTTGTTTTAGAGAGTAAGTACAACATAGATAGTGTGGAGCCACGTGGTAAGAAATGGGGAATACCGTGTTGTAGGATGTTGATTTTCTTCTATGGGCATAAAGGTTTTCACAGTACTTCCATGGAATGTTAATAGAAGTTAAGCCAAAAAAGAAATAAATAGAAAAGACATTGAGGTTTGGGAAACATTGGTTTAAACAGGTTTGTTTACTGCAAGATTTCTTTGAACTTTTGAAGTGTGCATTGTGAATTTCCAAAATTGCTTAAACTCAGCATAGTTTTGCTTATAAAAGAACAGTGCTTCTTGGAATGTAATTTTCCTCAAGGCCTCTTGAGGAAACATTTGCTGGAATGTTACACTAGCATGAAAGGCCCATGAAAGCTGGGGCTTTTTTGGTATTGTTCACAGTTCTACCACTTGCACTGAGAAGAACATCTAGCAAAAGTTTTTCTCAGTATACAGTATATTAATTGAATGAATTGGTGGTTTTAGTGGATGAAGAAGGAATGAGATCAGGGTGAAGTCAGATTTTTAGCAAGATTAATCTGATCATATGATATAGAATGGACTGTAGGGGAAAGAGGCTAGAAGCTGAAATACCCAAAAAGAAGCTGTTAAAGTTGTCTAGACTTAAGATTTTTTCTTGGACTGTATGACATCCTTGAAAATGGAAACTAAAATGGATAGCAGTGATATTTTCTAAAGAGAATTGACACGATTTGGTGACAGATTAGATGAAGGAGGAAGGAAATTCTCAAGGTACTCAGAGTTTGGATGGCTCTGAGGATGATGGAGTCACTGTAGGGAAGAAGGAATTTCTGTACAAGACTTCATTCTATTTCCTCCATGTAGCCTAATGATCTGATGGGTGGGGTCATAAAGAAAGTATCTAATTCCATGAAATTTTACTTTGTGTTTGAGAACTTTCTGTGTGGAAAAAGATTACAAATTTTCAAACAGTAAAGCTAGTGATGGGAGAGAATTTGAATAACAAATACAGAAAATAAAAAAACCCTGTTTAAAAAAATCACGCTAAGTTTGAGTGAGAGCATATATATTGTGCAAAGATTCTGACTTAGCCCACAAGGCAACTTTTCTTCCAGCTCATTAATTCTATGATATCTATGTATAAAGTATGTTAATTAATACATTTGAAATTTATAGTAATGCAGATTGGGTAATTATTTTGAGCTACTTCTTTTCCAAAAGAAAATAGAGTGTTCTAGGATTATCAACAGGTGGACCTTGAATTTGGGGAATGAATAGTCTGTGAGATTGGAAATGTAGGTTTTGTCTAGTCTAGACATACCAAGAGTCAAAACCTAGCCAAACGCAGACTACCACCAGCATCCTCTGTGTTTGATCAAACCTAACAAGTCCCAAGGGACCCGACTTCTCCAGCTGAGAAGAGGCAGTTGATGGCATGGAAGCAGCATAGACTTCAGATTTACAGACTTAGATTTAAATCCTAGAGGAGATTAGTTGCTTCTCACCTTTTAGTCTACTTATCCGTAAAGTAGGAATAGTAATTATCTCACACAATAGTGGTGAGGATTAAATAAGATATAAAATTACTACCATAGGCATTATGCATGCGTGCATAGGTCAATGAACGAATACTGCGTTGTAGTCCCTTAAATACACCTTCTACCTACCAACCAGATTTGCTTTCCATCTAAGAGTCATATGTCCATTGGTAGTGCATCTAGTGATTTTGAGAAATGCTACCTTTGTGCTGATGACAATTAGGGGTGATGATAAAATTGATTTAATAATGATTACCAGAAAAATATTCAAAAATATTTTCAAAGGATTTACGTGTAAAGTATGGTAGTTGTGAGGGTCAAGTACTGGTGGGGCTAGAAAAAAAAATTTGTCCCTGCTGGAAAAGTTGTAAGTACATAGTAGTAATATCAAGAATCAAAATGAAGTGAATCTAAATAGCAAAACATGGTTTTCATTAACTGTAACTGACATCTCTTTTCCATTACACCAGTGAGAAGAAGCTCATTACAGACGCTCTTAACAAAAATCAGTTTCTGAAGAGGCTGGATCCTCAGCAGATCAAAGACATGGTGGAATGCATGTATGGGAGAAACTACCAGCAAGGGAGTTACATTATTAAGCAAGGAGAACCCGGAAACCATATCTTTGTGCTGGCAGGTGGGTTTCGCAGATTTTTCCAGTTATCAAATAACAAATATTTGCCTATCGTCTTATGATTTTTTTGCAAACATTTATAAAAATACAAAACTGGTTGCTCTATTTGTAGAAAACATAACAGATTGAGCTCATGAAATAGTTACATTGTTGATCCAATCATGATGATGATAATACTTAATATTTACTGAATGCTTTCTATATGTCAAGCATCCTATTGAGCACTTAATAGAGAAATCTCATTTCAGCTCACCAACTCTGTTAGGTAAGTGCTATTATCCCCATGTTACTGAGGTGGACTGTGTCACACAGAGGTTTAGTAACTTACCCAAGGCCACACAGCTCATTAGTGGTGGAGGCAGAATGCAAACTTAATCTGCCTCAAGAGCCCATACTTTTTGTCACGGTGCCACTTACTCTACAACTACGAAAAAGTGTTTCAAAGTATTGAAAATATTGCTGCTTATGTTGACATTTTTAGGTTGTTATACCAGGAAGAAGAAAACAATTATTTCCGTGGTCCTGTCAAATATTTTGGTTATATACCAATGATTTCAAAAGATAGTATAGGTACATTTAACCAACCGATGAATCAAATGGAATGCCTTAAGATTAAAACTGGTGTTTTTCAAGCCATTTAAATGGTTTCCTCCATATATGATCATTTGAACATGCTTATGTGCTGTGTAGATTATACTGGTTAGATAGGCAAAGGATTTATTTCTCAAATGCATAAATCTTATAGTGGTACTTAAAAAATTTTTTTAGATATAGAAGCAAGAAAATACCTGAATAGGGCTTATGGTTATTGAACGCTCTGTCAAATTCTGGATTGCCCCAACTTTTTGAGTTTTAGGGAAGAAAGTTAAACTGGCTTACTCAGATGGAGTGATAACCTGAGATGTGCTGTGACCTTCTATTTTGCGTTGTAGTTCCTGGCAAGCTAAGCAGTGCTTTTATGTTTCTTTGGGGCCTTAGGTGTGGGAAAGAAGTTGCCTATCCAAACAAATTAATCAACAAGTGTTGTTCTATTTATAGTGTATAAGAGATTGTTTTCATATACTTTGATTCTTTAAACATGCCAGTTTCATAATTATTGGTGTATTATTTGCCATATACATTTTTGTAGGCACCCTTAAAATTATAGTCATTCCCAAGTAATTTTTCTACCCAATAAGTGAATTATAGTCTTAATTTAGCCAGCCTTCAAGTTTTTAGGGACAGGTAATCCTGAGCAATTTTCCCCCTTTTAACTTTTCTCTTGGCCTTTTCACTTCTACTTTAGCAACACTAGAATGTTCTGGCAAGAGAAGAAAGGTCATTAAGTCAACAAATATTTATGGAACCTACTAGGAAAGGTGTCAGCCCATCTTGTTCCTTGCCACTAACTCTGATGAAAGGCCTAGGGAGAGGAGTTTGAACACAAGTCAGCATCAGGACAGCCATTGAAATCAGGGTACATCACACATGGAAGTGAAAATTGGACAGTTTCTTATTTGAATTAATTATGATGCTAGCTAAAGACTGAATTGTGTGATTTACCTGATTGAGCTAATTTGTTAATTAACAATCTCCCCTTTATAAAATATAGCATGAATAGCCCATAGTAAAAGCATATTTAGCTTAAAATTTTGTTATTCCATATAATTCTTCAGTGTTGCTCAAGTCCCATGAGCCATAACCAATTAGAAAAAAAACTTGAAATAGGGGCTGGCCCCATGGCCTACTGGTTAAGTTCAGCACGCTTCACTTCAGCAGGCCAGATTGGGATCCTGGGCATGGATCTACACCACTTGTTGGCAGCCACGCTGTGGCGGCGACCCACATACAAAATAGAGGAAGATTGGCACAGATGTTAGCTCAGGGCGAATCTTGATCAGCAAAAAAAAAAAAAAAACACCTTGAAATACATTAAGATCCATGATATCAACTCGACAGTACAACTAAGTGGTTTCAATGGAATAGAATTTAATTGTAATGAGAAATTATTAAATTGAATATCTAATCTATAGTATTTGAAGCCAAAACAGGGCTTACTTCTTACTAGAATATGAATTCTAACAGAATGAGTGCTTTTTCTGTTTTGTCCACCCTGTCTCTCTGGCACCTGAACTAGTTCCTGGCACAGCATAGGTACTCAGATCAGGTTTGTTTAGTGAATGGATGGGCAAGATGATCCAGAGCTACTTACTGATGAATTAGGAGAAGGAAAGATGAATTCTTCAAGGGAAAGAGAAATAACCCCACCATTTTTCTTCCTCTAAGAATATATGCCATTTTTGCATCAGATTTTGGTTATGTAAGGTTTTATTTGCATTTGTTTGAAGGGAAAGGAAAGGAGAATTGCCAGGGCAAAAGAGTTGTTAGGAGATTGCCTGAAGTTCTGCCTATCTCTTCCCCCAAACTCTGCCTAGATAAAGATTAGTGTCAAGCACTCTTCTTCTTCTTTTTATTTTTGTAAGACTTTATTTTTTAGAGCAGTTTTAGGTTTACAACAAAATTGAGAGGGAGGAACAGAGATTTCTCATATACCCCCTGCCCCCACACATCCATAGCCTCTCCCATTATCAACATCACTTACTAGAATGGTATATGTATTTTTTTTTTATTGATGTTTTAATGGTTTCTAACATTGTGAAATTTTGGGTTGTACATTTTTGTTTGCCCATCACCACATATATGACTCCCTT